TCGCAATGTAAATACCATCACACTTCATATATCGCCATTTGCAATATATCGCAACTATTGTACCATCTCACTTCATATATCGCCATCTGTTACGTTGCAGTTCGCTATATATCACAATACACCATATATTGCCACCTATTATATTGCACCGCTCTATATATAAGAATACTTCATATATCGCCGCTCGCTATATATTGCAATGCTATAAATTAACTCTTGTAATATATCGCAACGCGTTATATTGCCATATGCCATACATCGCAACTTGTATATGTGTATTGTATACTACTCGCCATATATCGCCGCTTGCCATATGACATCACTATGAAAAACGAATTTTATTTAACCTCTACATATATCACTAATTTCAAAAATGAGCTACTCGCACAACTTTGCTGATGGCAATATAATGAGAGTCTACTGTACACAAGCCTATAAGTGTATAATTATACATAAATTTACACAAAAAATTAAAAAAAAGACGTCTCGGCTAAAAATAGCGTTATTTCAAGGGGAGATTAAATTTTCATCCCCATTATTTATTGGTCCTCCATCACACATAATGTGAGAGTTCCCAGTAATGAAATTAAAAGTTCAAAGTTCAGCAAAAGGTCCCGACATCGGATCGAATAAAGCGTATAACTGATGAATTATTAATTAACAGTCGAACACGGTAACACGCACGGCATTAGAAGAACGGTGAATGGCTAAAAAAGATTCTCGATACACTTGGGTCAGTATCGATCCCTACACCTGGCGGGATACACAACCATGTCCCCATTAAGTTCGTGCCACTCGTCAGGGAACTCAGCGCGTTTGCTTTTTCTCCCTGTTTATCTGCGTTCGCAATTAGAATGTCACGGGTAAACTTTTAACCGGAACATCAGCCGGCTCAACTAATTATGTTTGCTCTTAATACATACCCGTACGTGGCCTGGTTCGACGAAGGAACAGCGAACTTTTATTACCGACCGTTAAGGGAATTTCGATTTTCATGAATTAATAGGGCCACTGCGAGCTTCGTGAAATTCATGCTCCAACTATAATCGGATTATATAAGCTTTATTTTGTACGGCGAAAAAGGAGAAATCTTGAATGACATCATTTTCGTCTAAAAATAAATGCTCGTCGTGAATATGACTTGTATATTTTTATGGGAATAAAAAGTAGGAAAGTAATTCCTTCGTAAATTAAACTTATGATAAATTATTTCGAATATTGCTACATTCAAAAGTTCCTAGTTACCTAGTTATCACAGATTATGAAACCGTTTGTTCAGTCTGATATAATTACTGCTAACAGATATTCGTGTTTAAATCAACAACAAGGAAATAAAAAGATGTAAAGAAAGTCGTAATCTGAATTTAAATTCGGCTCGGTTGAATGAATCAAACAGCCACTCGAAATTTTCATGCATATTAAAGAAGCCCAGGTTTTTCCCCCAGCATTCATTCGAATCGAAATGGAGGCTTTCACGACCAGTTGAGCTGAAATCGCATTCATTTAACTCGGAAGGGTTTTTTCGCCGATGATTTTTCAACGAGCCACCCGTCGAAAGTAAAGCGTGTAAAAAGATTGGAAATATCGAATTTACATAAAACAACGTTATATTTTCCCTACTCGTGAAACAGGACTGAAAGCTGGAAACTGTACATCGATGAGAGCATCAAAATTTCAATGTAACGCGAGTTGTATAATTTTTTTACGATATCGCTCTATCAGACTGTTTTTTGTTACACAGAGTTTGGAACAGAGATTCGCATAATTTTATGACAAGCTGTGCTGTATCTATTTAAAGCTTGTTACTTAAAGAGGATAATTATTATGACACAGATATACTGATTATATCTGTAATTAATTTTAGAAGTTTTGGTTTTAGCAGAAAATTGTATCAAACTTCAGTTTCGAAAACATAAAAAGTCTGCCGCAATTTCATGACATAAAAGTTGCACCAAATACCACTTACGATACATGAATTTAAAGTTTGTGACTCAAAGAAAATAGTTAATATTATACACAGGTATGATTAATTTTAGAAGTTTTTAGTTTTTGCAGGAAATTGTATCAAACTTCAGTTTCGAAAACATGGAAAGTGTACCATAATTTTATGACATAAAAGTATCACCAAATGCCACTTATGATACATCAATTTAAAGCTTGAAGCTCAACGAAGAAGACTGTATAAATGTTTCATCCCCCTCTTCATCGATTCGCAATTAAAAATGGAGTGTTCCTTAACAGACTTAGCTGAGACAGAACTCGATTATCTCAGCCGTCTGTTCTGAGTCAGCCATCTTGTAACAGGAATATTAATCAAACAATCATACAGCCATATTCTCTAGACCGTAACCTTTCGATCCATGTATCATAAGTAATATTTCGCGATAATTTTATGTCATGAAGTTACGTTAGTTTATTTCAACTTGATGTCATAATTTCACTTCTTTAAAGTTCATAGTTTCATATTGAAGTTCATTTATGATCGTAAAATTTGTGAAGATAAATTTTGATCAAGTTAAAAGAATAAAAAAGAGAAAGAAAGTCAATCATCACCATTTTGCTTTCACTAATTACTGAGCCGGCAAGTTTCAAGCTTTCTTAAGTTATAAAGAGGTAATGACTGGTGAACTAAACGTTCTAGTTTTTCCGCGAGCAAGACCGGAAAAGCCGATGGAAACTGATTACTCGCGTAGAAAATACGACGGGAAATCAATAGGGAGCCGATGCGTAGAACGTCGTTCGTTTTCAAGCGGATCGAGCTTTTTGACGTTGAGACAGGGTCGTGCTCTTTGATATCCAGGACAAGACAAACTCGTTTTCATTTCCAGCCAACGAGCCTTCGTATTTCCCGTGCAATGGGAAACGACAACTTTTCTAATAATTCGTCACGAACACGTACAAATAAGATCGCTTTGTTCGATGTAATGCAATTTCTTCTATATTCTTTTCTCTTTGTTCCATATTTCTGCTTGCGTAATGCTTCCTTGGATTTGTCGCTCGATATTTTATGGTTTGATATGAAGGTTTCTTGGATTGTTCTTGTTTGGTTCGGGAAGTTGATATGGGTATTGGGGTCTTTGGGGTTTGGGTATTTGAGAAGATTTAGAGGAATTTTGGAGCTTGGGAATTTGGGGGTTTGGGAGATAGGGTAGTTTGGAATTTGAGAATTAGAGGAGTTGTTAATTTGAAAATTTGGGGATTTGGAGGTTTGGGCATTTAGAGGTTTGGGGATTTAGAGATCTTGAAATTTGGAGATTTGGACATTTGGGAATTTGGGAATTTGGGAATTTAGGGATTTGGGAATTTAGAGATTTGGGGACTTGGAGGTTTGGGAATTTGGGAATTTAGAGATTTGGGGACTTGGGGGTTTGGGAATTTGGGAATTTGGGAGTTTGGAGAATTTGGGGAATTTGGGGAATTTGGAGAATTTGGAGAATTTGGAAAATTGGGAAATTCGAAAATTGAAAATGTAGTATTTGAAAATATAAAATTTGGGAATCTAGGATTTGAGATTTGCAAATTTGGAATTTTGACAATCTTGAAATCTGTAAATTTCTAAATTCTTAAATTTCCTAAATTTGTGCCACCAAGTCAAATACCAACATTTAGAAAATTTAGAAATTTACTTATCCCTCATTTTACATAATATCCACAAAAAATTGTTATACTACTTAAACAGACTTAAAATTCATATACCATAATTACTATATTATACTTTAATATAATAATTTTATCACCCAATAATATAAAACATATTCCCAAATTAACCACTTAATAACATCAACTACATTAATTTATCAATTATCGAAATCTGATTAAAAGCAAAAGAAGAAACAAAATCTCATTTCAATTAATATCCGAGCGTTTCATTTTGGTCCCTCGTCTGGGGAAACATGTCTGGATTTACACAAGATGCTTTTAGTCGCGAAAGTATTCGAAACGAACCCTTTACGCGGTGTCGTTAGCAGGCTTCCCACTGCTCGAATCCCAGATGGCTATAAATTGATGAAAGATATCGTGAGGTGTATGTAATTATTGATACAATGTGATTGTCCCGCGTCACGACTCCTGGGATTTACGGTATTGCGAGTATATGGATTAATATCGGGTTGCGCGAGATGTATTTTAAAACTGAGTCACTGATTTGTACAAAACCGAGACACGCATAAACTGAGACATATGTACATCAAATTGAGACATATGTGTACAAAACGGTGACACTGACATGTACTGATGTCAACCCAAGAGCTGGTGCGTGAGGACTTAAAGTAAGGGAACAACTAGTTAGGGATTTAGGGGCGTAGCGATATGGGGATGTAGGAATTTGATGATGTAGGTATTTGGAGATATAGCAATTTAGGGATATAGTGATTTGGGGATGTAGGAATTTGGGGATGTAGCAAATTTGGGACATAGGAATTTGGGGATGTAGCAATTTTGGGACGTAGCGATTTAGGGATGTAGGAATTTTGAGACGTAGTGACTTGGGGATATAGTGATTTGGGGATATAGCAATTTGGAGACGCAGCAATTTTGGGACGTAGCGATTGGGAGATGTAGGAATTTGGGGATATAGCGATTTGGAGACGTAGCAGCTTAGGGACGTAGCGATTTGGAGATCCCGAAATTGCTATATTGCTAAATTGGTACATTGTGATTTGAGGACATACTAAATAATAATTTGTTTGTGAAATTACAGGAACAAACCGAAAACGTTCGCGTTCGATCACTGTTTCCATTCCCTGGACCCATCACTAGAGAATTTCGCAAGCCAGGAAGTGGTGTTCGACGCCCTGGGCCGCGATATTTTGGACAATGCGTTTCAGGGTTACAACGCCTGCATCTTCGCTTATGGGCAGACCGGTGAGTTATTTATAATCTTACTTATCATATCAAGTCTACAAAATTAATTCACAAAAAGAAGAGATGAAATGGAGCAATTTTGAAGGAAGGTAAATTTCATATTTGATCCATTTTGGTAATATTTGTTTGGGAAGATTGGAAATCTTAATGTTCACGTTCTTAAATTTTTAAATCTTTAAGTTTCTAAGTTGTAATATATGCAAATCTTCAGAGCTACAAATTTTCATAGGTTCAAATTTACACATCTTCAAATTCTCAAATATCCAAATATCAAAATTCGTAACTCCAAAAAAGCCTCTCCCACGTAATACACATAAAGCACCGAATTAATTACACATAATGAATCTCGTTCTCCAACGCAAAGATTAATGAGTGCTTAGAAAGTCAAAGCCTCCTATCGCAACATTAAAGCACCGTGGGTGTTTTATTGTATTTAACAAAAGCGTATAGAAGAAGAATGGGTCTTTGTATAGAAGAAACGCGATCAAAGGAGCTTTGCCCGAGATTTTCCGCGTCGGTCCACATTCGCGTTCCCCGCCAGATTTAATTCCTGTTGATAAGAGTGCAGCCCTCGTTCCACCCTCGGCACAATAAATGTCTGCTCGTTGTATAGCCATGAGTAATGCAATTAGAGAAGGGGCCAACGATAAACGTCCACGGTTGATCTTACACGTTGGAGAAACATTGACCGAGGCGACGACTAACGTTGTCGTCCCGTTCTTCGCTCTAGTCGCTCTTACAGGAGAGGAAAAAAAAATAAGATTATGCACTTCTAAAGGCTCTCCCGTCTTTCCTGTTCACTTAGCTGCTCGCTTGACATCGATGAATCGGATTTAACCTCTCGACTTATCATCCTTCTCAGAGCACTTACCGAAGACTTGATAACTTACGGGGAAGTTGCGAGCGGATGCTAACGCGAAACCTGTTAAGGGTTCTGAATACTGCAGTATCAATTGGGGTTAAACTTTCACTCGAACGATCACTGAATTTATCGTTTATTTTAGGGTTTTGGTGGATTTTACTAATTATTTTAATTGAGGGTGAAGGATTTTTTAATTGTATAATATTGTAAGGTCTGTTGGGGTGATCTGTACTGTTAAGGGGTGGCAAGGTTGGGGGATTGTTCAAATTGTAAAATATTTTTCTAATATTTTGAGAAATTATTACAAGTATAATTGAAGGATTTTTTAATAATTTAAAATGGTGTAACTTCTGTTGGGAAGATTTCCATTATTAAGGGATGGCAAGCTCGGGAGAATCATTTAAATTATAAAACACTTTTCTAACATTTTGAAAAATCATTATAAACACAATTAAAGGTTTTTAAATAATTTAAAATAGTGTATCTTGAATGAAGAAAAACTTGCACCATTTATAAATGAGTTGAGAGGGTTGTTTAAATTATAAAATATTTTTGTAATGTTTTACTATGTTTTTTTAATGTTTCTTGTTTTGAAAAATTTTTGTAAATATAATTCAGCAATTTTTAAATAAAAAGATGTATAATTCGTATTGATTTCATTTGCATTGTTTAGAAATTACAAAATTGAGGGTTGTTTAAATTATAATACGTTCTGTGAATATTTTGCTGGTTGATATCTTGTTTTTTGTTTTGAAAAATTTTTAAATAATGTTCTTCTTTAATATTTGTTAATTATTATTACATTTTTAATGGAACTTTGATTAAGAAATTTATTGCAGAAATCAAATTAGAACTTCATTTAAAGTTTGAGGGCTCCAAACTTCATTTTTCCAAAACGCAAATTTCTAAATGAAGGTGAAGTGGTACAACTTCCAAATACCTACACAAGTGATAAACGTTCTTGAATGCATCTCCGAAACTTGCAAGTAAACTGCCAAATATCAAAGCCAAAGCCCTCGAATGACTAAACTTCCAAATGCCATAACTCGTAAGAGCCGAAACTATCAAATATCGAAGCTTTCGGTGACCAAACTTCTAAATGCCACAACTTGCAAGAACTGAAACTATCAAATATCAAAACTTCCCACATATTAAAACTTCCGAATATCAAAGTTTCTAAATATCGAAACTTCCAAATATTGGAACTTCAGATATCAAAATTTGCAGATCCAAAACTCCCAAAAATATCAAAGCTTCCCCAAGTAGTGAAAATCCAAAATAACGAAACTGTTAGTCCCAAAATCTTTACATATCCAATCTACCAAATATCAAAACTTCTAATTGTCAACAATTTATTTAATGAAACTTCAAGATTAAAATTCGAGTAATATATGCACACACATATTAAAAATATGTGTATGTATGTAGATTCTTCCAAAAATTTGTAAGGAAAAATTTATATTTTTCAAACTTGTAAAATTGTTCCATAAAGATGTCCCACACAGATCTTGCAATATAACAAGTATCCATTGCAATGCATTCCCACAAATATCTCAATGTAACAAATTCTGACCATAATCAAAAAACCCACAAACCATAAACCTCTCGAAAAACTTCCCCTTTCGAAAGCAAAATATAAAATATAAAATAAAATTTCGACCGCCATTGCAAAGTGATGCCGTAACTTCGATCAATCTTATCAGAAATAAATTCTCCCAAAAATACCAACACGAATTTACAAAATAAAACGAAGACCATAGGGAATAAATTTAGCTGAAAATTGGGGTAGGTTTGTTACGGAGGCATAACCGTGGCTCGTGTAATTTCGCCGAACGAACCCAAGGTTCTACGCTCGAGTAAGCTCGAGTATCCCTTAGAGATAAGGGATTGCAAAATTTCTCAAGGGTAGTTTTTTCCACCACGGGGGTTTAACGGGATCGTTGGCTAATTTTTCAAGGGTCCGGGAAATCGTACACGATGATGGGAAGCGGCGAGAACAAAGGCATCATACCACGGCTGTGCGACAACCTATTCGACATGATCGCGAAACAACAGAGTTCAGAACTCACATACAAGGTCGAGGTCTCCTATATGGAGATCTACAACGAGAAGGTGCACGATCTGCTTGATCCGAAGCCGAACAAACAGTCGCTGAAAGTCAGGGAACACAATGTTCTGGGACCTTATGTGGATGGACTCAGTCAGCTCGCTGTCACATCCTTTCAGGTGAGTAATGCTCTGATGACAATTAGTAGTATAATTAATATGGATAACAAAGATACCTAAATAACCTGATAGAAGCCTAAATAAAATGTGTTTAGATAGCTAAGAAAATTTTGTTTTCTTCAAAGAATACATTTGCAATATAACTGGTAATTGAATTACATTAAGTAACCTTCCTGTGTTGCATAATGAGGTCATACCTTTCATGTAAAATACAAATACTACAAATAGTCTTGCATCTGTAACTTTGATCTCGAAGTATAATAAATTTTGTTCGAGATTTTGTATTTTTATAAATAAGTAGACACGACTTGTATCTATGATTTGAGCACATTTCGTTAATATTAACGAAGTAGATTAAGTAGAGTATTTATGTTTGTCTGCTTTGTGGTTTATGTGGACGGATATCACACGTTACAATGATATAGATATTAATATGAAATATTAGCTATGGAGCACAGGTTCGATCCAAGTGACGAGTATATCGTCGAGGCATATCTTTTTTATCTAGTATCCCTGTTCGATTATCACGAGTGTACTTGTACATTTTCCCCACGAAGCAGCGTAATGTCCCTTTATCACTTGTTTTGACCGGCAATTGGCTCGGTTCCAGAGCGAAACTGTTGTTGATCAATATCTGTCGTTGCAGTGCTTCGGCAATTTAATTTCTCCAACAATACAGCGTTCTGCGTGCCTTGACTATATAGCAAAGACAACTTGCTGCAACTGAGCTCCGATACCGAAGAGTAATATCTCTTTCGCGCTATAAAAATCGTTCAATTCATTTACGGTTCCTTTTACGGTTTCCTATTCTTATGTATGGAAGAAAATTATGTGTTATGGTACTGTGAGAAATTACTCGAGGCAATATGTAGGAACGATATAAAAATGATGTAGGTTATCAGAATGAGGAGTATTTTATGTTGAGTCAAGAAGGTTAAATGTGAAATACCAATTGTTATATTGACGTTAATTATATTGCCATGCGTTATATTGCCGCTAATTATATTGCCGCTTATTAATATTGTCACAGGACCTGTGATAGATGGACATAAGTTACTTAGCTACTCATCGTCAACTTATTTATTATGATATATGACACTCGCCATATATTGCAACTCGTGATATATTGCACTGTGCTTATATCGCCACTCATATCGCAATGCGTCATATATCTCAATGCACCATATATCGCCACTCGCCATATATTGCAACTCGTCATATATCGCCACTCGCTATATATTGCAACTCGTCATATATCGCCACTTGCTATATATTACAACTCGTCATATATCGCCACTCGCCATATATTGCAACTCATCACATCCCAACGCTACATATACCGTAATGCACCATACTCATATATCGCCGCATGTCACTCGCTATATATCGCCGCATGTCACATCACTCGCCATATATCGCCACGTGTCATATATCATCTCTCATATATTTCCACGTGCTCTATATCGCCATGTGGTATTGTCACACATCACATATTACCACTCGCCTTATATCGCCATATTCCATATATTACCACTCGCCATATATCGCCATGTCCCATATATTACCACTCGCTTTATATCGCCATGTACCATAACATCTTCCAGTATCAATATTGTCACAGATTAAATATTACCATTCGTTATATAGCCACGCATTATATCGCCGCTCATTGAACAGATATCCACAAAAATTTCATCAATATTAAAAACAGAAATCTTTTCAATTAACCAAAAACTATTATCCAATTGTAAAAAGTCTCCACTCCTATGATCTCCTCTGTGGCAATATAACGAGAGTATCTAATATCAATGTCGCTCAGAATGTTTCTTAATTTTATCTTTGATTATCCGATTGCTAAAGAACGTCTTCAATAAAGTGGTGCTAATGAATTAAAAAAGAAAACAATGCAATCGTTTCATGATCACGATTGATCGATTGATCGACTTTTACTGATCGTCCAGTCGAGCTACGAACATTAAACGGACGAAGGTAATGATACACGATCCTTTCAGAAAGTAAAATCAGGTCGTTTTACATGCATCGAAGGTAGTGGTTAGCTGTTTTATGCAACAAACACGTTTCGTACATACCAGTAACGCGTGATAAGTTTCAATTTGCTCTATCGACTGTGAACTAGGATACTGCCCTCTCGCTTCACGGGATACATTGTACGATCATTTGAAAAAAAAAGACTAAGTTTGATAACTGAGGTTGCTTGACCATACGCCTTTTATGGAAATTTATAAATTGTATATGATATAGTATGCAATGCTAAAGTAATATTCGTGTCAGTCAAACACAATGTACAATGAAATTTCACATACAATTTCATTGGTATTGAAATTAGAAATTTATTAAATATAGTGTTCATTAGTTTGGTTGAACTGTTCATATAAATTATGAGTGTGAACTATAGTTTTACGTTTCTACGGTTCTACGTATTTACACTTTCATAGATCTACATTTCTAGATTTCTACGTTTCTATATTTCCACATTTCCACTTATCTAGATTTCTACATTTTTACATATCTATATTTCTGCATTTCCACTTATCTAGATTTCTACATTTTCATATATCTGTATTTCTACTGTTTTACATTTCCACATTTCTACATTTCCACATATTTACATTTCCACATTTCTACATTTCCATATTTCTACATTTTTACATTTCCAAATTTCTACATTTTTACATTTCCAAATTTCTACATTTCCATATTTCTACATTTTTACATTTCCAAATTTCTACATTTTCATATGACTATATTTCTACATTTCTACATTTCTACATTTTCACATCTTTACATTTCTACATTTCCACATGTCTACATCTTCACATTTCTACATTTCCACATTTCTACAACTTCACATTTCTACATCTTCACATTTCTACATTTCCACATTATCTCCGTAATCCCAAATATCGCAAACCTTCGACAAAAAGACCGCACTTTTTGTTGGGATGTACGATACACGGCTTAGCAGTCTAACCGGTCGATTTAACAGGACATCGATAACCTGATGGCGGAGGGCAACAAATCGAGGACAGTGGCAGCGACGAACATGAACTCCGAGAGCTCCCGTTCACACGCCGTGTTCTCCGTGATCCTAACGCAGACATTGACGGACTCGAAGAGCGGTGTCAGCGGCGAGAAGGTCTCTCGGATGAGTTTGGTGGATTTAGCAGGGAGCGAAAGGGCTGTGAAAACTGGGGCAGTGGGTGATAGGCTTAAAGAAGGAAGCAATATAAACAAGTAAAGTTTCAAAACTCGTTCAATTTTTATAAGCTTTGTTCGCATACTAAAGACAACTATAGTCACCTGTCGCTTATGTCAGACAGGTCGTCGTTTCACTTTTTTTCTTTGTAAAGACACTTTTAACGTATAAACCATTTGTCAATGAGATTATAAAAATAGTATATAAGACAACAAATATCAGTAAGATTATAAAAATACTATATAAGACAACAAATGTCAGTAAGATTATAAAAGTACTATATTAGACGACAAATTTCAATAAGATTATAAAAATAGTATATGAGACATCAAATTTCAATAAGATTATAAAAATACTATATGAGACAACAAATTTCAATATGATTATAAAAATACTATATGAGACAACAAATTTCAATAAGATTATAAAAATACTATATGAGACGACAATTTTCAATAAGATTATAAAAATACTATATAAGACGACAGATGTACTATTTGTTTTTGTGTTTGGTTCGTAATTTTGTATTGTTGTTAGTGATGTAGTTTGGTATGCAGATTATTTAACGAAAGTGTTTTCGTGTGAATTTATAAGAAATTGTTTGCAGATCCCTAACGACGTTGGGTCTAGTCATTTCGAAGCTGGCGGATCAGAATTCCGGAAGTAATAAGAATAAGGACAAATTTGTGCCGTACAGGGATTCTGTTCTCACGTGGCTGTTAAAGGTATTCTTCCTCAATCTTTTACTGTTAAATAAAATTAATTATCAGTAGAAGAAGTATCAGACACCTGTGTGAAGAATTGCTTCTCTGATGTTAAATTTTATTTAATAATTTTTAATAAATAAAATTTTATTTAAAATTGTAACGATTGTTAAAGGTATCCTTCATCAATCTTTTACTGTTAAATAAAATTAATTATCAGTATAAAAAGCATCAAACATCTGTGTCAAAAATTGCTTCTCTGATGTTAAATTTTATTTAATAAATTTTAATAAATAAAATTTTAATTAAAAAATTGTAACGATTTGAGCTAAATGTGAATAACATGAAGATGCTTTAAAGTACCACTAATTAATTACAAACAAAAATATAAGAGTAACGTTTGTGCATGAAATGTGAGCCAGTGTAAAATAATTGAATGTTTGCGATGCAGGATAATCTGGGAGGAAACAGTAAAACCGTGATGGTGGCAACAATATCTCCAGCAGCGGACAATTACGAGGAAACACTTTCGACTCTTCGGTACGCGGACAGAGCGAAGAGGATCGTTAATCATGCGGTGGTCAACGAGGATCCAAACGCTAGAATTATTCGTGAATTGAGGCAGGAAGTGGAAACGCTGAAGGAGATGCTATTACACGCGACTGTGAGTCATCGAGACGTGTTGAAACGAACGAATGGTCTTTAACACGTTCCCTAAGATACGAGACGTGTATTGATGCCCTGTCGTATCTCCATTCTGCATGGGTCATTTCACACTCAACTTCCATTATGTGTTTAATTCGCGTTTTCATAATATTGATTTCGGTATTTAAATTTTGATGGGAACATCAGTTACTTTGGAGGACATCAGTCACTTTATAATTGATTCCTTGTTTGTGGAGATTATAAATTTATATCATTTTTGGCAAATTTTAGAGAAGGAATTGTTTTTGAGAAATGTGGAAGGAACAATTAATTTTTGACGAATTTTGGAGGATCAAAAGTAGATTACAACTGTGGTCTTACATTTAGTATTTTTATTTGTTAAAATACTGGTTCATATAATTTTATATGAATGTAGTTATAACTCCATCAGAAGAGTAACTAATTTTTGGTAAAACTTAAAAGAAAAAATTAATTTTTGACAAATTTTGAAGGAACAAATTTAGAGTACAACTGTGGTCTTATATTTAGTATCATTATTTGTTAAGACACTAATTATTTATATAATTTTATATGAATGTAGCTATAACTCCATCAGAAAAAAGAAATCAGAGGAAGATTTTTGTCAAAACTTAAAGGAACAAAATTAGAGTACAATTGTATTAATTAATCTTAAATTCTATTCCTTTCTTTGTTAAAATACTAATATATTTATATATAACATTTTATGGTTACAATCTTTATTACAAAAGAAAGTAAACTTTGCTATAATTTAACTAAAATGACAAGTAACATACTGAAATTCTTAAAATGAATTTTTATCCCTCACCCCTCATAATTGTAAAAGTAACATCCATAATTCATTTTCATTTAATTCATTTCATCACTTAGTTTAATTTGCATAATAACAATTTATCCTTCACAACATTCATAAATAAATCAGAAAAGAAATAAAATTGCTAATTAGCGTGTGAGCTCTCAATCTGACCTAATCTCCTTTTTTACTTGAACAAAAAAGGGACAAGGATCGATAGTGGGTCAACAACGCACAGACATCACGGAGAAGTTGTCCGAATCAGAACGATTAATGAAGGAGATGTCGCAAACGTGGGAAGAAAAGCTCGTAAAAACCGAGAGGTTGCAGCACGAAAGGCAGCAAGCTTTAGAGAAAATGGGAATCAGTGTTCAAGCCTCTGGTATCCAAGTGGAGAAGAACAAGTATTACCTTGTGAATCTGAACGACGATCCCAGCTTGAACGAGCTGCTGGTTTACTACCTGAAAGTACGTAAAAATACTTAGTTACTGACCTACTATGCATTTGGGGAATATTGGAGATTTGTTCAAAGTTGAGAACTTGGAGTGATTTCTGAATTTTTTTATTCCTTGGGTTTCTCAAATTTTTGGATTAATAAATTGATAAATTAGCAAATTTGCAAATTGGTGAATTATTAATATTCTAAATTTCTGAATTCTCAAATTCCCAAATCTCCAAATTCTCAAATCCCCAAATTCTCAAATTTCCTAATTTCCCAATTCCCAAATCCCCAAATTCCCAAATCTTCAAATTATCAATTCTCCCAATTCCCAAATCTTCAAATTCTCAATTTTCCCAATTCCCAAATCTCCAAATTCCCAATTCTCCCAATTCCCAAATCTCCCAATTCCCAAATCTTCCAATTCCAAATCCCCCAATTCCCAAAGCCCCCAATTCCCAAAGCCCCCAATTCCCAAA